ATACTACAGATCCCAGAGAATTTTCCAATACATTCATGACATATGGAACAATACCATAGGAAGCTTTTGCTTTCGAGGGACTGCTAAATAGGAGATGCAGTACTCACAAGAAGATGCAAGAATAAGGGACAGTTTTCTTCTAAACAAAATGGTGCAACAAGATCACACATGCTAGGAAGAAGCAAATGGGACCATGCAATCTCAGGAATACATACAATGGAAAATAACAACAGGGTAAAACTCAAATACACACATGAAAACTCTTGCAAAAAAGCAAGGAAATTTACAAGTGCATCAGTTGACACAAAGCAACTTCAAGCCTCATGTTTAATATGCAATTACAAGTATATAAGACTTCTGACTGGCTGAGCACAAGGTGGTTTTCTACCACTTGCAAAGGGCAAGTGACATGGAGCAAGGAAACATCCAGAAACCTTCTGCAGAAAGTGAGAAGTGATGAACCTTCTAGAATCCCCAAGCCAGTCTAACAGGCTCAGAATTACTCTGAAAACTCATGTAGAAAAACTAGAAGAATATATTTACACTGGAAAAATATATTTAACACAACCAATATGGAAGCAGTAAGATAGTAAGGAGCCTCTCCCATTATAGTGTGCACATAAGTAGCATGTATTTCCACTCAAATTTTCTCCAGCTGCTTCTGTGCAGCTTCAAAGATATACTTAATAACATACACGGTTTCTGAAGCTGCACAGAAGCAGCTGGAGAAAATCTGAGTGGAAACACATGCTACTTATGTGCACATTATAATGGGAGAGGCTCTTGGTTAAAAAAAAAAATCAGGATGCAAGTGAAATAATAATAATAATAGCCTATACAATATGTAATACACCAGCCTTCAGTTTACTGAATCTTTTATATGTCTAGGAATATAACTAAGGACTTGGAATGTGAGCTGAAAGTAATCTAGGTAACAATGAAGAACTGCGTAATAAATTTGGAAAAGGAAATTAAAACAACTTTTCATTTCTTTATATTAGATAAAGGTATTCCCCATTGACAAGGTTGTCAAGTCATGTCCGACCATAGGTGGCGGTGCTCATCTCCATTACTAAGCTGAAGAGCCAGCGTTGTTAGAGACTGCTCTGTGATCATGTGGCCAGCATGATTTCAGAAAATCCTGTTTACCTTCCCACCAAAGTGGTATCTATTTATCTACTTGCATTTGTATGCTTTCGAACTGCTAGGTTGGCAGAAGCTGGAACTAGTGACAGGAGCTCACCCCATCATGCAGCACCCGGGCCTCGAACTGCCAACCTGCAGATCTTGCAATTAAGAGTTAGCGTCTTAATCACTTGAGCTACTGCATCCCCTATATTATACCAGTCTAACATTAGGTATCATGTGCTCAAGATCCCAATACACCTAACACCTATACCACACAGTGATGGTCTTCTTTCCACATGTTGTCAGGTAACCCAACTATGATATACTCCACCAAAGAAATTTTGCAAAGGACATTCAAAAGGGTTACAGATGCAAAAAGTGGGTAGCTTACGCATTCTCCTCATCAAAGTTTGCTCGCTTTGATCCAATCTTGTAAAAAGAAGGCAGCTGAGGTGGTGGAGTCTTTCCAAAGCCAGCTGAAGAACCCGTGGCTCCAAAAGCACTGTGGGATTGCTGAGGGAGTTTGGGCTCTTCCTTCTTTCCAGATGATATTGAGAAGCCACCAAAACCAAAGCCTCTCTTGGTACCAGGGCCACCTTTGTTCCAATTCATGGTGTACGTGATGTGTCTGACAAAAAAGAAGTTATATACCAAGCATTAACATCACACCCCTGTTTCAAAGACCAAATAATACTCACATAAACTTCATGGATATCCTGTATTAGAAAGACAAATAAATGATTGTCTTAAATGAATAAAACTGAAGTTTAGTATCTTTGAGACTAACTGAAAGAAAGAAATTGGCAGCATGAGCTTTTGTAGACTTTAGTCTACTTCCTCAGATGCATTTGTGGAGTAGACTGAAGTCTACGAAAGCTCATGCTGCCAATTTCTTTCTTTCAGTTAGTCTCAAAGTTGCTACAAGATCTCTCTACATGCTAATTCTATAGACTAACACGGCTATATCTTTGAAGTTTAGTACAATGTAGGTGTTTCATTCACTAGCCTAGGCAGACACTTTCTAAAAAATCATGAATAAAAGAGAATTAAAAAACTAAAAAACTGAAAACCAACCAGCAATGTAACTTTTGGTGTTGACACAATACATTAAGAAGGTTTTTTCTTCCCTTAAAACACTAGAACACTGGATCATCAAACAGGGCGAATGATACTCTATTTAGTCTTAGGAAATATAACCAGAGGTAACCGTGTTGGCCATATAGCAAAGTACAAAATGAGCTAGGAGACTTTTTGAGAGATTCAGTGTTTCCTGCCTAATAAAGAGGTTTGTGGTCTCACAAAGACTTGAGACATCCTGGATCTCATAGGAAGGGCGTTTTTTGTTTTGCTAATGGAATTTACATTCCCTGGACATTAAAATACTTTATTTCTTAGTACTACATGGCCAGTAGTGGCCTGCCTGCACAGATATCCCTCCATACTCAGAATACTACCAATATTTTGACAAAATGCAGGCTTGTGACTAACACTGGTCCAAAACACACTGCAGAAATAATCCAGTTTGAGACTGCTTTAACTGCCGTGGCTCAGTGCTATGGAAGCCTGGAAATTTTAGTTTAATGTGGCACCAGAGCTCTCTGAGAGAGAAGGCTAATTGTCTCACAAAACTAGAGTTTCCTCAGTTCCCTAGCGTTGAGCCATGGCAGTTAAAGCAGCCTCAAACTGGATTATTTCTTTAGTGTGTTTGGGACCATTGTCAATTTTTTCCTCCTGTGTTATTTCTAACACCTTTGCCAGATGAAGAAGCCAGTGGGAATTCAACAGCTTGCAACATATAGTTCATGCATTTCGGTTGGTCCAATAAAGATATTATTGATCTGTGGGTTTTAGATGTTATTGTATTTAGTCTTAGCATACTATCAGAAAACTTTATTCCTGTTAGTTGTAAGCCCACCTAATATTTGTTTTTGTTCTCAAGTTTAAAAGCATATACACATAATTATTTATGGTGTATCTATTTCCAGTTGACATTTTAATCATGTTGGAATATATGGTTGTAACTGCTGTGAAGAGAGGAAGTAAGAAGCAAAGAAGATACTAATGTCTTTATTCCTCAACCCACAGAATTTTCAGATTTTGCCTCAAACCATTCCATTTAACTGAACTTAAAGAGCGCAGCACATTTTATAAATGCTAAAACATTATATTCAAAACAATATCAGCAGTGTACTTAATATTCCCCCTCCACATCCCTTATTCCTTTGTGGATTATGTTTTAAATTTTAGACTGCAAGTCTGAGGGTAGAGACTACTGTGCCACCTATCTTGTGAGGTGCCCTGGGAGCTTTTTTGCCTGCAAAGCATGGTATGAACGCTTTAAAGAAATAAATGAAGCTAGTGGGATGTAAATGTGGCAATTTGCCCAAGAAAATTGGGGGTGGGGGTGGGGGTGGGGAGGAAGAAGAGTGAAGACAGTCAAAAGGAAAGTTATAGGTATCTTATATTCAGAATTGGAAATAAGGAACAGCTGTCCTATTGGGAAATGGAGAGGGCAAAATGGTGAAAAGAAAGAGTACAACATTTTATTTTCCAGATATGCAGTTATTATTTACAAAGTCACTGTAATTCATAACTTTTGAGAATGTATTTTCTTTGTCTCTAGACCCAAAAATCTGTTTTTATTACTTAGTGTAAAAAAAGCAATTGTGTGTATTATATTTGTACTCTCTTTTCTCCAAAGAGGTCTAGTACCAAACATGGTGGAGCTTCATGATTTTTTTCAAACCATTCAGTGGGTTTCTTACCTTAAACTTAAGCAAATGTACTCAGGTCAACTACTTAGGAACAGTATATTTTGTCCTATTTATCTTGTTGAAGAAACTGTGAAAAGCCTGTACCATTTACAGTGGGACCTTAGTATCCAGTAGGGTTTGGTTACAGGACCCACCCACCCCTGTGGATACCAAAATCCATCGATGCTCACGTCCTACTAAATGTAATGGAAGTAAAATTGTATCCCTTATATAAAATGGCAAAAGGTTTGCTTTCTGGAGTTTATTTATTTTTTTTCCATTTTTTCAAGCTGTGGATGGTTGAATCCATAGATGGCAGAATCTGTGGATATGTAGTTTTATTATAGTAGTAGTAGTAGTAGTATTTATT